CCCATCCAACCTGTTTCTTTATCTCCTGAAATCTCTGAGGTGGAGAACAGCTGATGGCATATTAGCATAAAGAAGTAGAAGACTATGAAAGTTCTGTCTGATGTGAGCAGTAGTGTCAAGTCTGGACTTGTTCTGTCAGAGTTTTTACTTTGAAGATTTGAAGCTTTGGCTTCCCCTTTCCATGTAGGTAGAAGCACCCAAGACTGAAAAGTGGGTCTGACACAGCTCTTTGATGGCAAATCCATTTTCACTTTCCATTTGTAATGTCATTAGCTGTTTTAAGTATCTTTTGAGGAAAGACGTAGTTAAAACCAGGATTTAACTATTAAAATACACAGAGTTGACTTGGGAGGAAGATTAAGAAATGGGTCTTCTGTATCTCTCTCTCTGAGCAATTGAAGGGCATACTCCAGCTCTCATTATGAGATAATGGTAACATCTTGAACATCACGTTGCTTTGCATAAATGTGTGCACAGGTGAGTGGAGTGCTGGAAAAAATGTGAGTTTATAATCCATGAAGGGCGGGTAATTTATTGCCCAACTTAAGTTTGTCTTGTGGTTGGTGTTCTCCTCCCATAGAAACAAAGGAAGACAATTCTTTTCTCAATAAAAGATGAGAGTAAACTTTGCTATTTGCTCAGCATGAGGTCTAACATGTAAAACTCCCTTCCTGGACAGTTGTTGTAGCTGGTGTTTGGCTGCCTTTGCACAGGAAGTGGGCAAAGGGAGGGGAGACACAACTGGACCAGATGGTCTGCGCTTCACCTGCTCTTGATACAAACACAAGTGAAGTTCTCTGCATGTTCTTTGCCAGTCATCTGAATTGTTCTGGTCATTCAATAGTCTGTTTGCATCATCAGGAGAAGATTCTCTGATGGATGCTTTCATATACAGGACTCTTTAAAACAACCAACCAAACAAACACTCAAAAACCCCTCACGCAGAAATTTGACCTCATATATTTTAGGGAATTTTATCTCATTTTTTCTTGGAAAATTCCTTCCCTGACTCAGAATGGAAGCAACTGATGATCCCTCTCTTAATTTCTTGGAGTGGGCATTGGGCTACATTTCCCTCATTGCAGGTATGGAGCCGTAAATCCCATAACTCTTCTTTCTTCAAAGAGAGATGGCTGTTAGTGATGGTGAACAAATTGCTGCTTCAGAGCAAAACATTACCTTATAGAACAGTAAACCATGCTTTCTATACAACTATTTTCCCTCCAGTTAACTTTCTCTCAGCCTGGGGAGGCCAGATTCTATCTCATCTTTCACTGTGTCTCTCCCAGTCCAGGCACCTTCTAGCAAATGACCCCTTTCTCTTGAAAATTGCTTTTTATCTTTTGAGTACACTTGAGTTCCCAGCTCTAGAAAATCATAGAATCATAGTTAGGGGTGGAAAGAACATTGGGATCACCCAGTTCCAACCCCCTGCCATGGGCAGGGGTGCCTCCCACTAGACCATGTCACCCAAGGCTTTGTGCAACCTGGCCTTGAACACTGCCAGGGATAGAGCATTTACCACTTTTCTGGCCAACCTTTTCTATTGCCTTACCACCCTTACAGTAAACTTCTTCCTTATAAGAACTTCTTCATTATACCCATCCTGAACTTCCCCTGTTTCAGTTTGAACCCATCACCCCTTGTCCTATCACTACAGTCCCTAATGAAGAGTCCCTCTCCAGCATCCTTGTAGCCCCCTTCAGATACTGGAAGGTGCTCTGAGGTCTCCACACAGCTTCTCCAGGCTGAACAGCCCCAACTTACTCAGCCTGTACAACAAGGCTAGTAAAAGTCAAGTGAAGCCCCATGCTAGGGGGAATCCTTGTGCAGCGTAACAGTGAGGTTCTAGATGGGAGTTAAAAATGAAGAGACCTGCTTTTTATTTTCTAGTCTGCCACCTACTGTGTGAGCTGAGGAAATACAGTGAATTCTTCAGGCATTGCTATCCTCTGAACTGCAGAACAAGCATAAATCATCTGTGGCAGGTGCTCTGATGTGGATAAACTCATGAGAATGGGAGTAATGTGCTTTGGGTTTGGCTTTTTTAAACACCTTCCATAACCTTTGCTGACACACTGTATAGGGCACCAGTTTCGAAGCTGTTTACTGGTACCTCTTTGTCATTTCTAAGCTGTTACTGTTACCTGTATGTTATGCTATGTATGTATCTACATGCATCCAGAACTCTGGGATGGGAACAGCAATAGTAGTGAGATTGTGTCATCCAGGATGCATATTCCTGGTGCCCAGAAAACCATAGACTCTCCTGGCCCTGGCTCTGTTCATGACAAGCAGAGATGGAAGAAGCTCTCTGTGTCACTGGCCTCTGTGGTGCTGTAGCCAGTGCTATGGGCCAGCTCTGTGTGTGGTTACTGTCTGGAAGATGCGGCTGTGAATTATATGATCAGAACAAATATCTGTGAGCAGTTCTGCTTCTAAAGGTTTGACACCTTCTTCAGAGGTTTTCTCCCTTCTCTTCCACAGGCTGGCAGCACCAAATTTAATCGTGCTAAGCTGCTGAATGTAGGATACCTAGAGGCCCTAAAAGAAGCTAACTGGGACTGTTTCATTTTCCATGATGTGGATCTGGTGCCAGAAAATGACTTTAACATTTACACATGTGGCCCTGGACCAAAGCACTTTGTAGTTGGCAGGAACAATACTGGATACAGGTAGGAAACCAGGAATATGGAAAAAATACCAATTGGGAAATGCCATGTAACTGTTAATGTTCCTCTTCTAATGGAGCTCTGTGCTGTATCTACCCCTTCTCCTGACACCAGGTTTCTGGTGGTAACACTTCATCTCTCTGGAGTGCCCTTGGCAAAATAGAACTGTATGGACATCTCTTAAATCAGCTCCATGGTCACCTGTACAGGTGATCATTGTAATCCTTCTGGTTTCTGGGGTGAGGTAAACGGTGTTCCAAGAAGAAAGCAACATGCCAGAGGTTGTGCAGAGACCTGTCAATGCTAGAAATACATTTGCAGTTCCCTGGTCCTCTGGTTTGAGGGTGTGATCTTGCTATAGAAAAACTTGCCACTTGCCTTTTGCTGTTGAAGAGGGAACATCTGATATGGAGAGCTCAAGTATGAGAATATGCCCAGGGATAGGGTTGTATTTAATGACATGGCTGGGCAGTGTCTGATACAGGATCAGTCTGGGTTTGCAATGGGTCCCCTAAATGTCAGCGTGATGTGAAAAGTCAGGTTCAGTCTACTTCAGAGAAGAAAAGGCTCCCAAGTCTGGTGAGTTTAATGACCAGAGTATTTCCATTGAACTTGTTTCTTTTAAGATTTGCCTCCTATGTCATGTCATCTCAATATTAACTCCAAGTGGGCTTTTCAGAAGCTGATCTCTGTGTGCTTTGAAGCAAAGCTCTGCTTCACTTGTGGGTTTCCTTTCTTAAATATATGAGAGAGAGGTGGGGTGTGCAAATTCTTATGCAGAATACCATTCACTTCTCAGTCATTTAGTGCAAACTGGAGCACTAAATGACTGAACTAGGCTTGTGACAGGCTTTTGGAGCACTCTGCCTTGCAGACAGAATGCTGAGGGCTATGGAATGGTCAGTGCACCAAAGCGACAAACACTGCTTTGGGTAATGCACAGGCATGTAGAATCCAGGCTGATAACATGGCACAAAGCTTAAGGTGCTTTACTTAACCTCCTGTGCCTCAGTTTTACCGCAAGTGTTCTGCTTAGTTAAGCAGATGGATTCTTGCTTTTACTGCAGGATCCTCTTACTATAGATTTCCTCAGGTTTCTGCTGCTTTTGGAAAGGAACTGTTAGTTACAGGCTTTGTTTTTAAAGAGTACTTAAAAGAGTACTTTGAAGAGTATAAAGGTTTAAGCTTTGTCTTTAAAGGGTACAGACAAAATGTTGTTGTGAATACCCTGCACCAGTATTCATTGGGATACTGCTGGTTTGAGTTTGATTCATACTTTCTTTTCTGTGTCACTGCCTCTGTTCACATCCATGAAGTGGGCATAACAGCACTGTATTTCCAAAGGAATTCCTGGGTACATCTGAAGGAATTCAGATCCTGAACTGAGCTGAGACCTGGGGTTGAAAACCCAGTTGGGTGACCTCAGTGTTTTGCTTAGGTTGAGGTGAGCATACTGAGAGATGTCACTTAGATGTGTGGAAGTTGTACATGTTCTGCATTAACACACAACATCCTGGGCAGGAATGTGGGTGCATCATCTATGGTGATGCAGTGTGTGGTAATCTTGGCAGCTTTGGAGAGTCAGTACCTTATGTTTAGTTACACAAACTACAGGTTTAGATGCTTCAGAAAGGAAGGCTTCTATACTAAAATCTTGAAGGTGGTCACATACTAGAAGAGGCTGCCCAGAGAGGTTGTGGAGTCTCCATCCTTGGAGATGCTCAGAACCTGAATGGGCCTGGTCTTCAGTGACTTGCTGTAGGAGCAGAGGGGTTGGACTGCTTCATATCCAGAGGCCCCTCAAGCTCTGCAGTTCTCTTGTGATGCTATGACAGGAGCACAAATCAGCCAACAAAATCGGTCTGAGTTTGGTTTCTGAGTTTGGTCTTGGTTTAGTTTCTTTGTTGTTTTGTGTGTGTGTTTAAATTAGGTTCCTGGTAAACCAGCAATAGGAATAAGCATCACACCTTTCCTTGCCTGGCATATAAATTGCCATCATGGGTATTTTCTGGCCCTGGCAGTTTGTTCACCTCTTTGTATTCACATCCATCTAGCAATCCAAATTCAACCTGCAGCCATGCGCACATCACCCCTGGCAGTGGCAGTGTAGTAGGGGCTGTGTTGTACTGCTCACCTTAAGGGCCCAGAAAGGGGAGGGTATCATAAACAGCAAGTAGCAAAATGGTGTAAGAAGATAAACATGGTATGTAAATATCTTTTAGAGCAGCTGCAGTTCCCAGGACAAAGAAGGTAGAAGTCAGAACTGAATCTCTTTTAGAGCTGAGCACCGTTACAGTAGGTTACTTAGCATCTCACACTGTACCTTACCTTGGAGTTGTTCCTGCAGTATCCCAGGGCATGTGTACCTGTGCTGTGATCTGGTTTCATTCCAGGTTTCTCAGCTTCAGCTCCAATGTGGTCAGTGGCTTCTGTCATTATTGCAGAGCTTCTGCTATGTGAGTGTGTGACTTTGTTCCTTTTGTACTCATGGAAGTCCTTGAGGTGAAGTGCTGTTTGCCTGGCAAGTGGAATTGTGTGAAGAGAGAAACTGTTGAAGAAGGAATTGTTCTCTCAGTTGGAGAGTTTAATCTTCCAGGCCTAGAGAAAATCACCATCCTCTTGTGAAAAGAGGAAGACAACCAGAGCAACCTCATGGGTTTGTGCACCCTCAACTCTGAAAGACGCATCTAAAGCCAGAGTTTCAGAAGACAATTCAGAGTTTCAGGGTGAGGTTTTTGTTGTTGGTAGAATTTGACTTTTAATTCTTCATTCTCTCCTCTTGTGTACTTCTAGGTTACGGTACACTGGCTATTTTGGAGGTGTAACTGCTCTAACAAGGGAACAGTTTGCCAAGGTGAATGGATTCTCTAACAACTACTGGGGCTGGGGTGGAGAAGATGATGACCTTCGAATCAGGTAAGAAGTCAACCATGTAAGAAAGTTCAAGTTAGATATAAGGCAGAAGCTCTTTACTGTGAGAGTGGTGACACACTGGCACAGGCTGCCCAGAGAAGTGGTAATGCTCCATTCCTGGCAGTGTTTTAAGGGCAGGTTGGACAGAGCCTGTCCATGGTCTAGTGTGAGGTGTCCCTGCCCATGGCAGGGGTTGGAACCTAAGGTTCTTTCCAACCCAAACCATTCTGAAATAAAAACCTAGAGAGAAATGATGCCTAAAAAATAGAAATGGATGTAACTTCCCACCTGGCCCCCAAAGGCAAAACATGACAGGAGCTCTCAGTTCCAAACAGTGGGCTGCAGGATGCAGTTCTGGGCACAGTTTCCTCTTTGCCAGAGACCTCGTCCTCTTCCTGACAAGTATTTCTGGTTGGGTGCAGGGTTTGTTAGGTTTTGGGTTGGGGTTCTTTTTGGTTGGGTTGGTTTGGTGTTGTCAACAGCTACACGGGATTTGCATTGTCACTTGGATATTGGTTATAACAGAAGCAGGAAGATTGAAGTCTGGAGGGTGATTTGCCAAAGAGACACAAATGTATTCAGTTCCAATGTTTTATAAGAGTGTGGGAGGGCTTTGATTTGGTGGGATTGGGTTTTTTGCATTCATTGACTACCACGATTTACTCCAAGCACAGCTTAGTTTGTATGTGGGTGGTGTTGATTCCAGTTAACACAGTGAATAGCTTGAATTTTAGAAAGACTGCATCTATCTGCATGTGCCTTTTGTTCTTGTGAAATCCTGTTTTGCAAATGGGCCTTTCAAAGTAGGAGAAACCTGTCAGTTTGAGAAGTTGAATGGCACAAAGGACTCGACCTAATTTTTCTGGTGATCTTTTGCCCTTTGCTTAGAAGGAAACCTCTAATCCTGCTTTGCTGTTAGTGAAGGAAGGGGAAGGGGGCAAACAGAACACAAACCCAAAAGGAATAAACAACCCCCTAAGCTCTGCTGGCAGAGCACATCCATTTGTAGCTTAAGCCTACATTGTTCTTCAGTGTTTATCCTTTTCATTTGCTTAAACCAAACATTTTAGGGACATAAATTCATCTCCCTGGTGATGTTCAGTGATTACACTGGTGAAATCAAGTGTGTTAAGAGTTAGGAACTTCCAAATGGAAGTTTCCCTCTGTATCAGGCAGCTGTATCTCAGGAAATGTAAAAGGACTACTGGAGGCCTGGGTTTCTGTCACTTCTTAATCACAGCTGGGTTTTTTTTTCTTCTCCCTACTCCTGTTTAGAGATACCAACTTCTCTTAGGAGCTGGCTTTTATAGTGGTAGGGGATGGCTTGGTACCATCTTATTCCCCACCTTTGCAGGAAGTGTCCCAGTTAAGGTGCAAACAAAGGTGATGGTGGTGGTGGTGGTGGTGGTGGTGTTTCAGATGTTGCTGTGAGCAGCAGACCAGCAAGATTTACTGAGGGTCTCCACCATGTTTACAAGGGGTTTGGAATCAAATGTGATGCTTGCTTGTGTAAGCAAGCAAGCTACTAGAAAGCACTCAGCTTTCTAGTAGGGAATGAGGAGCTGCTGTCCCGGTGGGTGGCTGTGGATCCTGCAGCCTTTCCCAGCAAAGGCAGCAGATGGCACCATCCCCTTCAGTATCTTGATCTCTGCTCCCAAGGAACAAGTGATGGGACAAGAGGAAACGGCCTCAAGCTGCACCAGGGCAGGTTTAGACTGGAGCTGAGGAACAATTCCTTCCCCAGAGGGTGCTCAGGCATTGGAACAGGCTGCTCTGGGCAGTGCTGGAGTCACCGTCCCTGCAAGTGTTCATACACTGTGTAGACGAGGCCCTCAGTGCCATGAGTTAGTGGTGGCCTTGGCACTGCTGGGGAACGGTTGGACTGGATGAGCTTAAAGGTCTTTTCCAACCAAGTTGATTCTAGGATTCTTCAATTCTTGGTTTCCTCTTGCTCCCCCAGCTGCTGACATGACCACAAAGACCTGGGCTATTCCTTAATTCTAGTCATGAAGTTAACCCCTTCTGCTGACAGAGCAAAACTCCTGTGCTCCAAAGATCTGTTAAAGCTCAACAGCAGCTCCAATTGAGTTCCTGACGTCCAACACTTAAATCCATGTGTGGGACTCGGGGTTTCTGGCAGCGTTCTCAGGACTTTTTCTTCATGTAGACAAATACAAGTTTTGCAGCTCTGTGCCAGTTAGTGAAAAAGAAAATGAAGCTTTTTTGGGTGTGTTTTTTTTTTTCTCCCCTTTTCAAGGGGAGAGCTATCAAGTGTAAAGGTTTTATGGCAGGAGTTGAGATGAACCTGCTGCAAAGCATGTGGGATCTTGCTACAGCCCTCCCAGGCTAATACAGGGTAGTACACACTAGACAAGACTATACTATTTTAAAGCACACGCTGACAACAGAGCACATTTAAGCTCTTCATGACCTACTGTAGTAGCTATCTGCTACCAAAAGAAAGGGCCATCTGTCACCCTGCTGGGTCTGTTCTCCAGAAACACAACCCTCAGCCCCATTTCTCTGGCAAGATGGGCGTTGGAGGAAATGTAGATGAGTTTCCTGCTGTTCTCTGTGCTTGCTTCCATGGCATCCACAAGAGATGAAGTCTCCGAATGTTGCTGTTTCTCTTTTCCTTGGGAGTGTGTTTCTAGGTGAGGCCTTGCTCATGGCACTATTGCTTCTTCCAGGGTTCACCTGCAGAAGATGGGAGTGATGAGGCCACCTGCGGAGGTAGCCAGGTATACAATGATCTTCCACAAGCGAGACCATGGTAATGAGGAGAATGAAGAGAGGTGAGTCAGGAACAGGGTTCCACTTTCCATCCTCTTAGTATGTGGCCAAGCACCTGGGGCCAAGAGCTTTGTTCTAGGCCAAATGGACATTTTCATGTCTGATTTTCCATACTGAAGACAGGAAAAAGCATAATTTTATGTTGCCAGCAGTACAGAACAGCAGTAGCTCTGCTTCCAAGTTTACTAGTAGTGGGAAAAGAGCTCAAAACACCTCTCCTGTGCATGTCAGTGAAGATTTTCTCCTCTTTCTTTTCAGGATGAAGCTTCTAAGTCAAGTATCTAAAACATGGAAGACAGATGGACTGAACTCCTGTTCATATAAGCTGCTCTCAGTGGAACATAACCCTTTATACATCAACATCACAGTGGACTTCAGCATGCAGCCCAAGGTCTCATAAGGATGGGCAACACACAGGATGTGAAAATGGCAACAGATCTTGTTTGCTTGAAAGAGGACTTCAGTAACACAGGAGAGTCTTTCTTCACAGTCTGATTGATTGGGAATTCCCTTTTGTGAGGGCTGGAGCCATGGGACCGATCCTTGTGTTCTGCTGGGACATTCACAGAACCGTCCTTGTTTGGGATGGGCCAGTGGAAGGATGTGAACCAAGTCTCATGGAAAAAACACTTGTTCTTGGATCTATTCCTAAACTTCTTGTGGGCTTCTTAAAGGCACAGGAGTCCTTCACCAAATAACAAACTTGCTGAGGAAAGCTGCTTTATTTTCCAGCCCGAGGAAAAACTGCCTGTGTGTGAGGGAAGGAATAATGGTCAGGGGTGAGATCTCTCAATAAATACACTCCATTGACTGCAAAAGGCTTCTGTGTTTCATGAGCTGAGCTCACCCTGGTGTGGGATGGTGGAAGTATCCCGTGTCAAAACAAGTCTTGGTGCTGTGCGTTGCATGTTACTTTGGAGAGATGTGGAAGGAGATGCAGTGGCTAAGTCAGAGGGAGAGAAATTCCTGGCCCTGGTTCTAATGCTCTGGGCTAGACTGTAATAGACCAGACCCAGGCTGTTAGTACTTGTGATTCTGGTTTTAGAGGACTGGTAAGAGTCTGTGGATAACTGTTCCACAGCACTTCTAAAGTCCTGATGAGAGTGCTTCCCTTTCCTTACTGCATTATATACCAGACTGTCCTTACCCCTGCATCTCGGATGTGCACCCATTAGTGACAGATATGAAGCCAGGCTTGGGAGAGTTTCATTTAGGACACAACACATGCCAAAAAGGAACTTCTGCTTTACACACTGAAGAGTTATGCTCCAGCTGGTTGCCCCATTACTCCACCTGCAGAAACAACTGAACCTTTAAGTAAGTTCTTGGGTGTTAGTGGGGATAGATGCAGCTTTTCAGCAAACAGGGGTTTTATTATCTACATGTAACAAGCAAAACTACCCAGTGCGATGCTTGCACAGTAACAGGAGCTGTGTAGAGGAGAGACTGTAGAAAGGGCAAGGCCTTGGCCACTCAGTAAGTCCAAGTACATTCCTGCAGTGTCCCAACTCCACTCCTGGCATGCTTGACTTTTTCCTCAAGTATTTAATTTCTCAGAAGTCTTTTATGTTAAAGACAGCTCAACCTTGAAATATACTTCATGTTTGAGCCACAGCTGAGTTACTGGATTCATTTCCCTGCTCTGAGCAGGAGGTCAGGCTTGGTGGCAGCCTCAGCTCTCATTCACCCTCAAGTCCTCACAGTTACAATAAACACATTTCACAAGTGCTGGAGCAGGCAAGAAAAGAGTTTTCTCCTTTATTGCACTCTTGGTAAACATCCTAGAAAAATCTGAACCCAAACACAACTCCATTTGACTCAAATTCACCAGGTATTTACAGAACAAGTATAGAAAGTGGTTAAAATACAGCATGTCACATGCCAGAAGAACTTTTATCTCAATCACCATTTAAGTACAAAGCAGGACAGAGCCATCCAGCTCTGGAACAAAGGTTCCAGACAACTTGGGTAAGGAGAGCTTGATCCCTGAGGGCTGGGAGGTGGCTCTGGCT